ATAAAAACTAAAGCAACAAATCTTCAAATGTATGAAAACTTTTTCATATTTACTTACTTTCAAGTGATTTATCCCGTGTCTACAGTCAACTCTCATAAGGAATTTATTTGAATTAAATTTCTTTTTGCTCACAATTTATTTATTATAATATTTTCAGCCATATAACTTTTATGTTAGAAATTTATTTTTATAAAATATTATAAAATAGTTTTTTACAATTATTTTCAAAGTGAAATAGTATTTATATTTATGTTCAACGTCAGCGTACTGTCCACTTATGGTGTAGTAGTTGTGTCGGCTAACTATCGGTTGGGACGGTTAGGCTTTCTGTACGGTGGGGACGACACGGCGCCCGGAAATGTCGGTCTCTATGACCAACAGTTAGCACTAAAATGGGTATAAATTATTTGAAAATACATTTTTATGAATTAATATTTAAATGCAATTACAGGTCAGGGATAATATACACGCATTTGGTGGGGATAGGGATCGGATCACTATATTAGGCGAGAGCTCCGGGAGTTGGTCCGTATCGGCACATATAGTGTCGCCCCTATCGTGGGGTCTATTCAAGCGGGCGATTATGCAAAGCGGGGCCCTTATGTTCAATAGGCACCGACCCCTACAGAGTACAGTCGAGGCCTTAAGTAAAGCCAAACAATTTGGCCAACAGTTAGGTTGTAGTGATGAACACAAATGGTTGGACTGTTTGCGGGATATTAAGGACCCGAACCTATTCATTGAATCCTATGACATGTCCAACGCTTATGGCGCCTCTAATGCCGTATTTGGCACTCAATTTTTACCTCTTTTGCCGCAAAAAGCATTTGAAACACACGCTTATAATTCAGGTGAATATCAATGAAATTAATTTGAGATCAACTTTTTAACTCTGTTTCAATAAAAACTAAAAATAATATTCATATTAAAGTAGAGCTAAATTGTTTAGGCGGCGTGCACAAAATACGTACGCACTGGTAGGGGGGAGGGGGGGTCAATTTTTGAACAAAATTTTGCGTACGTACTTTGTGCACGCCGCCTTATATCTTTTGAAAATCTATTTTCTTAATATCAATTTATTATAACAATAACTACACGAATTAATTTTTATAATTATACCAGATAATATTTATATTAAAATAACTATCATGGTGTTTTTCAGACATTGAGTTACTGTCCGGAGTCATGTTAGGCGAGATCTTTGANTTATATCTTTTGAAAATCTATTTTCTTAATATCAATTTATTATAACAATAACTACACGAATTAATTTTTATAATTATACCAGATAATATTTATATTAAAATAACTATCATGGTGTTTTTCAGACATTGAGTTACTGTCCGGAGTGATGTTAGGCGAGATCTTTGACCAAGTTGCAAAATTAAAGCATAACTTTAACCTAAATGTATTTCATAAATCCGTGAATGAACTAAACACCATGGCACATAATATAGACACCGACAGGGTTATGGATTACTATCTCAATGGCATAAACATTGATAATAAGGCTGAAATGGTCGACAAATTTAGTGCATTGGGCGCAGATTTATTGATAGTATGTCCGACCTATGCCTTTGCCAAGAGGTTTGCCAAAAGTAGCCCAAATGCTGCCTATTTTAATCGTATGAGTTATCAACCGATATGGTTGAGGATGACGGGGTGTAGTGATCGGCAGATGTGTCACGGATCCAGCAGCACCTATATCTACGGACAGCCCATTAAGGCTCCTAATTTTTTTACGAAAAAGGATCATGACTTCAGTTTAGATGTCATGAGAATGTGAACTGATTTTGCTAAAAATGGGTACGAGATGTACAATTGAATAGCATTTATATTATTAGACAACTTTCATATGAATACCATTTATAC